TCGTGTATTGAAGTGCTATAGAAAGATGGGTCAAGGGCACCACCACGACGGTCTTTGAAACTACTCTGAACGCTCACCCAGAAAGTGGATGAGATAGATATAGAAGGAGAAACGTTGCCAGTTACGGTCTACGGTGAACTGAGACATACATACTGGGTATATGGCTGGCTGGCGACTTTACACGCTATAATAAAGAGGCTCCGGCTAATTCCGGAAGCTGGATAATTTAGATGGACCATCATTTTTTGAGTTTCGACGCTGAGATGACCTAAGCATGGCGCTGGTACAGTCGAAAAAAGTGTAGAAGCTTTGCAAAACGAATCCCGTCGAATCACTTGCTGCATACGATTTGTGGGTATCTCCTCACTTACACGAAACAGCATTTTGCTTTGCTAAAATCGGTGTCTTGGTTTTGTACGAGCATTTCCTAAAATATGCGCCACAACTGAGCAAAATTGAGCCGGCGGCACGGCCATCTGACAACCTGGGAGCGTAGGCGTTGGGGCACATTTGGATTCTTATTTCTCACGCTCACGATCTTTTCTATACTTTTCGTACGTACATATCCTTTCAGTTTTCTAGGGTCTACTAGGCGGTGGCTCGCCACTATTTGGTCTTATGCGCCCATGCACGTCCGGTGACTGCGCACTCCATCAAAACTCCCCTTACTTCTCGCACCCTACCGATACCTCAAATAAGTGATCGAGCTAAGTGTAAAGCCATCACGAAGTGGTGCGTAACAATTTTCCTCTGGAATTCCATCATTAAAACAACCAAATTCTGACTGAACTAACACTATAAAAGCCAAACAAAGTTCCGCCGAGGCCAACGATCCTCACTTCCAAGGCTCATTTTTATCGAGCAACGTCCCCTAGTTGGTTCAGCCAAAATCCGCTCCAAGAGGTTCGAAGTAATAGCACCAGGAGGAAATGTTGAATATCTGCCAATATGTCCGCTTTAACCAGGCTCGCTATCCGAACAATTGGCTAGGTTTGTTTCGGTTCGTGAACTTCTCAAAGCACTGAGATCTTTGACCTGAGAATCAAAAGCCGTTCAACAGGCCACATCTACCCCTGGGATGAGCAAATTCTAAATCGCTGAACTTTTCTTCCAGTTTAAACCATCCTGGTTTCCCGGTGCAATTACATTGTGTCCATTAAACAAGTTCAAGGATTTTGTTAACGGTGTTCGTTCGGTCATTGGCATTAGCATTATCTCTCAACCAACTTTCGCCTGACTTCCCTGCATCAACGACGTCAACGAATCTTCTTAGCTTTGGTATGAACCACTTTTGAGATGAAACTTGCCATTTGGTTCCACCTCAAATTCTTCTTAGTTCTACTTTTCTCTTTATTTTGACTGACAATTTACTCAACCGTACAAGATCACTCGTGTCCAGCAACGATTTTTCAGTTTTAGTTCAACTCAACCGGCCTTATTTTTCAAATTTTTCTGTTTCTACAACTACGGTGACCTTTCACGCAATAAGCGTGTCTCCTTGGTGTTACCCTCCTTTCCTTTATGCTACGGTCCGCTGCCTCCAGGTCGTAACGAACAGATTATGCACCCAAATAACATGTTACATATAGGTGAGGAAATGAACTTATTATCATGAGAATACTGGGGGCACGGCAACTGCATATTCCGATCTGCATTTCCAAATAATGCCATCAGTACAGTTACACTTTCAACTTTACAAGCTCCTCGTTTACGCACGGACTTTGGTTGCGTCCGTCGCAGAAACTCTTCGAAGGCGTCTGCTGAAGAACCAAAGATACCTAGCTTCCGACAGGGTCCCAGAGCTCCCAAAGTGTGCTTTTTTCCGTCGCATAAACTCTTCGAAGGCGTATCCAAACCATCGGATCTGCTGAAGAACCAAAGATACCTAACTTCCGACAGGGTCCCAGAGCTCCCAAAGTGTGCTTTTTTGTGATGTTCGGACAGTAAAAGAGCGAGAGCTTCGCTCTTCATCTGGTAAAACCTTTGTGGCGAAATAACACAGACGGCCTCTGAATTGTCCGGGGATTATGCTGTACTGTCGTAGGTTTTTTGTACAACCTGTTAGCCCTCATTCCCTCCCAGGTGCATTTCATTCCTGTTGCGGCTCAATCTACCAGTTGAAAGCCCTTCACTCGGTGTGATGTAAACAAACTGCGGTCCTTTTGCTATCCGGATGGCCCTCTCGTATCACAGGGTGTCCACCTTGCGGTTCCAGGAAATACCAATTTACCGGTGCGCTTATGTGCTGTATTCCATGCTCCTTGTTTTCTGCTGGCGGAATTCCATTTAGAAGCAGATGATTATGAGCCACTCGTACGGCGACAAGAACCAGCACGATCTTAATTTTTACATACCAGTGGGCTAGACTTTCATCTGTCCGCTCATCCAAGGTCGGTATTCACTACTGTCGCCCAATCAACGTATAGCTCAGAAAGGGCCCTGTGCACAGAATAAGCTGACCAGACTGAAGTTGAAATTGAACAGGCTACGGGGCTGTGGATATCCTGGTGGTTTTGTTAGGAATCAGTTACGCGCGGTGTTGGTATCCTTGGCGAAATTTAACGGGAGACGCATTTGGTTGTCCTACATTCCATATAAACCTGACACGTCAAAGGCATTCGGAGGATTCTAAACACGAATAACAAAAGAGCTGCTTTACGGAAGGAGTAGAACTGGCACGCGTGCAATGAACTACCTTAGATCGGTTGAGCTGATACATGCTGATTTTTTGATATGAGCAAAAGACATAAACTGAAGTAGCTTAAATATGGATTAAGCAGGTCAAACGGAATAAAAACTCCACCCAGACTCCCATCTTTCTTTTGAAATAAAGAGTCGCAGCACATTCAAAACCTCAAATACCAATAAAATTTGCCACTGGCAATCAAGGCGAGCCACCATTTGAAGCGCACTGGACTCCAAGACCATGGGAAAATGGTCAAAACTAACTCGAAAATATCCGGACCCATACACCATAAGATCTAGTTAACTACACCAACCAAAAAGGCCCTTTAACTAGTTGGTTCTCTGTCTACCCAAAATTTTGGTCTAGTCGATGAATGCTCACGCTGCCCAGCGGAACATTTGTGTTAGGATCGAAACGTTACTCAACAGAGAATCTGCCGACTGTTTACCAAGCCCTTCTGAAAAGGAAGCATGCGTAGCTTTCGCAGAATCATGGAAAAACCCATGGCAACAGATCTACGAAGTTATATTGCATCTCGGACACACTGTTAAGTTCCCACAACCACGCGTCCTCCATTTCGCTGCAGTTTAGCCGACGGAGATAGCATCTCTAGTCTTATGTTTATCGCCGCTGCAAACTTTGACATAAGTTCCCACGATAAACTCAGTTTCGTTGAGTAGTTTTGGACACTTTTGAACAACCATCCAGCAGGTTACTTTCAACTATTCGCGGTTGGTAATCGAAGGCACGGTTCACAGATCAGTCCCTCGTTCCTCAGTCCCCCGTTCCCCGTCGCCAATGACTTGCCCAGCGAGCCAGTGGTGCATGCACATTGTTCATCAATTTCGGAATCACGCTACCATCTGTTCTTTCTCAAACCTATATGCTCACCTCTTCCCTGCCCAACTGACATTGCGGTCAAAATATATATTGCCCTCCAACTGAAAAAGGGAGCCTTATTCTACCGGTGTTGGAATATACCTATGCAAAATAATCCACATTCCATTAAGTAAATAAATAAACTGCGATTTTATCCTTCCGTCTATTTTCGGGTGGTTGTTGAGCACCACAAGGGCTTCGGGGCGTAGTTTACAGCCATATTTCCCGTCTTTCTTGTATCCCCATCCTACGAAGGTGCATGGAAGGTTAAGTTTCTTTATCGTGCATCCTCCTCCGTCGGTAATCACAATTTTCGTATTCACATTTCTTTTATCTGTCAACTTGCTCAAATATCTCAGACTGGTCTGCGCTCCCTGTCTGAGCCTGAACATCTTGAAGGACGCCCCAATGGAAGGCAAAAGCCTCCTTCCCTTCTTGCTCAACTGATTCCATGAATAGAAGCAGGTTAGCCGCAGCCTGCTTCTCGAAATACCACCGACTATGTGGGTGCCGGTCTCCAACCGTCTCATGGACGTAGTCTCACACTAGCGTACAATTCCCGACTACGTAACCACGGGCGTACGCCCTTTCTCCAGGCATTGTCTTTGCGATCCTGCATAACTTTCCTGTATTCCGCAGAGTTCAAATGCTGGAAGAAGTTTATTGATTTTGTCTTATCTGATTCCTTCAAACCGTCTTAAACGAATGATAGGTGGGTCACGCATCTCTTTCTGACTTGAACTATTTTCCAGCTGCAACGCTGCTGAAGTTTGAACGCCCTTATGGATATCTTCGGTTGTACTCGTACCAAATTGTCCGTCATTCGCGAACCTTAAGTACAAACCAATGCCTACGTAGCGTAGATTTACACGAATATGTCTACCCACGTAACGTTCTTCCTTATACTCTTCAATCGTGGCACCTCAAATATGGAGACAGGCATCTTCCCTGTCAGCCATCTGAGACTGGGTGCTCTATTTTACGACCAATCCACTGGCTGTTTACCTGCCAGTATACCGTTCGTACACGCTGTACCTATTAAACCTCACTAGCGTGCCGTGCAAGGTGATGGAACGCATTCTGAAGCGAGCTATCCTAGACCACCTTACTTCCAGCAACCTGATATCTTCAGCTCAACACGGAGTTCTCTCACATCGCTCCTGCGTGACAAACATGCTCGTGCCTACGGACAGCTTAACAGAAGCCAAGGACGAAGGACTCATATCGGAAGCCATATCTTTCGACTTCTCAAAAGCATTTGACAGGGTTTCACACGTCCTGCTGCTTTACAAACTTGAGTCTTACGGGATTCAAGGAAAAATCATTCGCTGGATCAAGGCGTTCCTATCGGACAGATCATTCCGAGTGAGAATAGGCGCCACCTACTCATCTCCAGCGGCGGTCTCCATTGGAGTTCCTCAAGGCTCAGTTTTAGATCATTACTGTATCTGATCTACGTCAACGACCTTCCAGATGTTCTTGCAAGCTCATGTATACTTTTTGCGGACGACTTGAAATCCTGGGGTTCCAATGCCAGTGCACTCCAAATGGATGTTGACCCTGCCAAGCAGTGGTCGTTGGACTGGAACCCTCCTCTGAATGACGAAAAGCGCATCCATATATCATTTGGAGGAGACTCAGCGAATGACTTTGTTATGCATGGTGAGAAGGGACCAGAAACCATCATGAGGGTAGATACCAAAAAGGATTTGGGTATCTGAGTCTCCTCAAACTTGTCCTTCTCACATCACCATGAGAATTCGGCCCACAAGGCATTCGCCATTTTACGGATGATCCGATGCACCTTCTCCCGTATTACTGGCGTGNTTGCCGGCCTCAAATCCGTGGACTACGAAACGCGTCTCGAGATGTTTGATCTCTTTCCCCTGGGGTACCGTCGCCTCCGAGGGGATCTAATTCTTACTTACGCCCTGTTCGAACGAAGCTTGGCAAACAGGTTTTTCACCGTTGGCACAGCAAACACACGTTGGGGACATAGTAAGAAAATTTTCAAGCTCAGATCACACACATTCATTGGACGAAATTTTTTCTTATTTCGGGTAGTAGCTGCGTGGAATGACCTTCCTCCGGCTGTTGTTCAGGCTCCTTCTAGAACCAATTTTAAAGCACTATTACACTTATTTATGCGAATCCTCGCGCTGGCAAGCATTCTGCCCCACGCTGAGAACATAAAGAACTGTGCAACACCTTTTTTCACTTGTGCCTTTCATGTGAACGACAGACACTGACCGACAGGAACAAAAGCGACCCGGGAAGCTTGGGCAATAGCCTCGATCCTGTGTATCAATCCATGAATCCGTGCAAACCCTGCACTGAAGGTTACCCGCCGCGTACGGTTTGAATTTTCGGCGCAATGCTCTCGAAGATGGAGAACGGAGGTGGGAACCGGGCTGGGATGTTCTACCAAGAGGCCTTGAAAATTGAGGAGAAAATCGTAGACGCAAGGAACACATCTGAAAAGGCCTTTTCAGCAGCGGATGTGCATGTTGAGCGAATTAAATCTTTGCTTAAAGAAGGTATGTCCGTATGTCATGTATTCACTGGCGAGATGGCTCAGTGGTTAGAGGTCGAATTTATTGACTGTGGTTTGAACTTTGGATCTCGGTTCTTTTCACGTTTAGGCCTGAACGAGCGGGCAGTCTCACAGACCTGGAGCTTCCTTCGTTGGGATCGCGGCTAGGCACCGGAAGGTTGTTGTAACTGAACGGTTATCTATCATTATTCTTGTTAATTAATTGAACGGAAATTGGTAGCCCCCTCAAACCCATGCTTCCTGAAGGTCCGACGTCGCCATATTCTGTAGAGAGTTTGGTTTAATTTGATTACGGATTTTTGCGCACTTACATCCAATTGGACATTTAGCTTAATGACTCTTCTGGACAGTCTCCACCCTGCGGTATTCCATGTTCCTCGTGTTTTCGCACCTTCAATATGTATCACCATCTGGGAGGTGTACTTCTCCCGTTGACAGTAATGCGATCGCCTCTGGCTTTTCGGTAATACTGGGAACAAACTCAGCGTTGCCTTAATGTGATACTTTTCACTCTGACCTGTATGACTTTGACTTGTTTCACCACGGCATTGTACGCTACCGTTTACAGTTAAGCCGACGTAACTTCGGTAACGAGTATCGGGGGTTAGAAACGCTGCACTGATTTTTCAAGTCAGGAAGTGATTTTTGTCACCAGATTCATGCAGGTTCCCTCATAAACTAACTCATCTACCACATCGATCAGACCATTGGCTACCCTTCACATCCAGACATCGCCATAATTTCTAACGATCAACGGAGTCATGAGCGGTTTTGATATCGAGAAATACTGTCGTTGGTGGACATCGGAAGGAGTTTCGCAGTGCCTCAGAGTGAAGGTATGATCGATTCAAACTCGGCCAGGACGGAAGCTAGCTTGATTCTCGCGAATCGGCTTAGCCGCCGCAAAACATGACCTGACCGTGGTGTAACGGTTTGTGTGCCTCCATGAGCCATTGAGCTATGCTGGGTTCTATCTATGCGATACTCAGGCTCTTATATCAAGTTGTTCAATGATTAGAAGTCTAACCAACGCGGTCTCCTGGCCCTCCAGGTTTTAGATGAGAACATATATGACGACTTATTCCATAAAATAGTGACGCGATTGCATTTCACGCCAAACACCGGCTTTGGTCGAGGACCCTACTCGCCCTCCTGTTTGGGTTTGGGCTCCCTGGCAATATTCCAGCCCACGTACTACCGCGATACTTACAAATAAATTAATTTCATGCCGTATCGGTTGTTGCGTGTCATCACCAGCCGGGTCGCCTTACTTGCTACATAGAGCAGATCAGGTAGGCAAAAGTATGCTACTGCTGGCACCTCCCCTCTAACGCTACAAGTGTCCGCTCTAATACCTTACTCTGCCCAAGTTTGTATACCCCTTTTCATCTTCATCATCACCGACAACCCGATACTTCACTGTCAAACCAAAATGCTTATTTGCAGCCTTACTTTGGAGAAAATAATAAAGGTGGATGTGGAAGAGATTTAGTGCTAGCTTACTACAATCATTCCGTGGTGCCTATACCACCAGACACTCATGCAGGCAATCGGCAAACGGTAGTTCGGCCTACGCAACACATGTCCCAACCAACGCAGCTCTTGGTGTTCTTCAATAGAAGTAGCCTTTGCATAACTGAAAGTCCGTTTTCTAATGGCCTAGTTCTTCAATAGAAGTAGCCTTTGCATAACCGAAAGTCCGCTTTCTAACGGATTCGCGAACACCAACCCACATGAGCTATGATTCTGAGTCAACGATTGTCGATTTGCAGGTCCTAGGACTCACCGCATTGTCCACCATGCCTGACACAGCCACAGGTTTTGTACGTCCCGGAAGCCGCTCTGCTTTGCTGCCTCTAATGATGGCACATCGAGGTAAGCAGAACATGTAGCTCTTTCTGATAGGCTGGATTCCCTCTACGTTGGTCTGAGCTGTCTGTCAGAAATAATGATACAGCACGCAAGAACTGTAATTGAACTGAAATCCCTTTTCTGTCTAATAAGTTTCGACCGCGCACCTCTGGGGTTGCACAGGCCGCTTTAGCTAGATATACCGATGTGTATGTTGTATTGAACGGCCGGATGGAAGTGTCTTTACTTGATTTGATGCCCGCTGATAGTAGCCTTTGCGTGGCTCATTTGGCAACATCTGTGAGAATTTCGAGAAAGTGAAATTTGTTGCATCCGGCTTATGTGTTTGCTTACGCTCCAACGGACTGTAGCTTTGAATCTGCCAGGGACAGTTTCTATGACGCCCTAGACGTCACAGCCTTACAACGGGCTAAATACTCAAGCATCGTTGTGGTCAAGAGTAGTATGCACACCCAGTTAAGTAGACTATTCGTTGCTGAGGCCCATTTTGGTGATTGTCTTATGTTGGACAACGGAAATAACCTAATTCAGATGTGTGCCGGTCACAGACTTCCAACTTCCGGAACAGCGGAAATTGCTTGACCACAGTGGTGCCCACTAGCGAACCAGTCCTGTATCTAAAGAGACCACATCGCTTTCAGTTATCGGTGGCAAGGGTCGATCACTGCTTGCCTCTCCTGCTAGAATACCGGTGTTGACTTCGAACACGCGCTTGTGCGTTGCTGTTTTTCATTACGCTTTTCAGGTCTCGGCAAAACACGCCCCAGAATAGCTGCTGGTGTCAGATGGCGTCAACGATTTCGTAACGGGGCAGTTGGAAAACGGTATTTGGTTGTCCAGCAGGTACTTCAGTCGCTTAAAACACCCAGCGTCATCGACTACGGTGGCTCTGCCATGTGCTACGCATGCTAAAACAGAGTCTGCGGAGACTATTGTTGTTCCATGTGCCCCCTGTAAAATAATGGAGGCCGCGAGGTGGACAACGTATGACTTGGAAAAGGCGTGAAAGGGATTACGATGAGTTTGAGTGTTGTTGATGCAGCATGCCTTCCAGGATGGGGTTCCCCTGCATTTGGGTGAAGACATTGCAAGAATTGACGGCGCCAATGGTGCTTGTGTTGTCAGTTTCCAGATCATTTGATAGAGCGCTTGGAGGTGTAGGCAACTCCGACTGCTTGCGATAAGCCACCATCATCATCATCATCACCAGCCGTCACGAAGAGACTGGACCTTACCGTGGTGCGACGGTTTGCGCACCTCAGCGATCCATTGAGCTATACTGGAGAGTGTCCCGCGACACTCACAGAGTCTCTCACACCAGGTTGGTCAATGGTTAGAGGTCTAACGAACACAGTCTCCTGGTCCTCCAGGTTGGGGGGATAAGCGATAAGCCACTACAAGGTTTCATTGTAAGACACCAGTGTTGCTGGCAGGTAGTCAAGGGATGAACCAATCGGGAGACCCGTGTTTCGAATCCGACCCCGATATATCAATTACTCCTGTCTAGGCCTGGACAACCGGGCAGTATCTCAGCCGTTGTGCATCCTTCGGGTTGCATGGCAGATGTGCAGCGAAATGTGAAAGCGGTTAGTTCTAATTGGGGGGGGGGGGGAGATGGCTCAGTGATTAGAGCGCGAATTTACTGATCGGAATGTCCGTGGTTCGAACCCGACGTTTGCCCCTCGACTTCTGTCTGGGTTTTGGCAACCTAACAGTATCCCAGCTCTCGTTCTCGTTTTTGGTTGCATGGCGGTTAGGCACCGAAAGGGTGCTACACCTGAATGAGTAATAAACAGAAACGACTTTTTAACTGATCAAACATTCATTCGGCGTGGTAGCTCAGGTAGCTAAACGTCACTTGATTAAATTATATCATGGACTATAAATGCCAAGGGTTATGCTTCGTTTCGCTTGGCACTCACGGTTACTGTTTATTTGGTTCATTCTTTTGAACATGTACGCGCGAACCAAATTGAAATGTGCTCATCAAACAGCACCCGAAGGATGCATACTTTACTCAATTGACCGCATGTGCTCTAAACAGACAGACTGACGCAAATGAGTCAGTCCAAGCGAAGAGACTTGAAGGCACAAAATTGTGCAGTGCAGTGGAGAAAAGGAGAAGTGATGCGACGACGGGAATTAGGGAGCTGGGCACTGATATTGTCATTCGACTAGTTGCCTTCGGGGAGCATGTTTTGTGCGAAGTATTGCAGATGAGGGAGTCTACCAAATTTTCATATTAAAACGGTCAGGGGATGCCGAACTGATAATGAAATGGACTATGTAAAGTTGTGTGCAAACAGAGTAATATGTGGTCGCGCAACATTAAAGATATCGGTGTCAGGTTTTTGTAGAGTATAGATTGTAGATATCCCCTTGGCTGCTGTTATTTAAGTGCGTCAAGATTCCTTCTCTTCACGATGCGAATAGGCATGAGTTAAAGGCCAACAGAGGGAGGGTGATAAGGGCTATGATACACTTCGGACGAGGCAGTCGTCAAGTTGTCGTGGACCCTGGTTCAATTTACTCTTCGTGCCGGCTTTGGAGCTAATTTTCTCGTGTTTTTTTTGAGATCGAACGTGTGCATACGAATAGCTGCATCCCAGACTTTTTCCTAGACTATCTGGTCGTAAGTGACTGGTCCTGGGTATGACAGTCTCCTATGGAGAACTAACGTAAATGAGCACTGATTATATGAGAATATTTGCTTGTGAAGTGCTGCCTTGGTCTCTTTGCAGACCAAGGGATAACGTCAAGTGAGACGGAACCCTAAAATTCCAGAGGTAGGCTGTGGTTTTTCGAGCTTGGGCAGTGGCTCTCCCACAAGTCCCATTTGAACGCGCAGTTTGCCTGTAAATAGTGGTAAACAACCCCCTATCTATGGCAGCATCCAGTGACAGCTTCCTCTCGTGCCACTTATCCTGCGTTTCCGACCATAGATAGAAGAAGAGCGAGCGAAAGAGTGAGTTAGTGAACCGGACAGAGGTCTCCCAGACTCATGAATGTTTTGGTCGACTTTTGAGAAGGTGGGACGAGATTGCCACTAACAGCACAGATACGAGATTTGGGGCTCGTGTAACCAGAACGTTGGTAGTTGATCCTTGTTGTACCTTGTCCAATTGGTTACGGGTGTCCGATGAGTTATTGTCAACAACTTTTATGCACCTTAATATTCTTTGATGAGCGATAGGAAAACCATGTTAATGCCGAGCGCTTCACTGATGACTAATCAACTGACGATAGCTTGGTGCTATTTATTATGTACTAATCGATCATTACGACGACACTCTGCTGTGTTGTTCGATGTTTCCCCAAAAATATGATTTTCAACATTTTATTTCGCCTAGTCTCTTTTACTGAGATGTTCAACGTCACACACTGTCACCGTTTGTCTTGCTCTCTGATCCTCCCGTTTTTGCAGCCGATTTCTTATCGGACGAAACGAAAGCCGAGATTCGTCAGTTCTCTTCCGAATTGAAATCCAGACTGTCAGAACATGTTAAAGCCCATCGTGATGTGCATCAAGTCATGTCGAAGTTTGGCAAGTTTATCGACAAGGTACCACTAGCTTGAATTGCAACCACCGTTTCATTGTTCCTTAGAACTTTAACGACGATTTCTCCGGTCTCACCGCATACTTCATTGATCGGACTCACAAATTGCGTTCGAAACACAATGGCTGTAGTGGTCTTTCCAAAGGTTCTTCCCCAACCTCCCCGTTCAGCAACGATGACCAGGCCGGACGATCGGCGGAGGAGTTGCTGAACCTGGTGGTAATCGAGCATTTACTTCGTCAGGGTATGGACTCTCTTGCCACCGATCTAATGCAAGTACGTTCACTTTCACGTTTCAGCTCCACATGTCATTCTTGAATCCTCTGCCTTATGTTTGATCACGAGCCCTCTCAAAGGTAGCCAACGAATTTAAGGTCGCAGATGGGCACGATGTTCACACTCACAATTGCAAAGTGATCCGCATAATGCGGTTGTAACAAATCCTAACACCGAACGCTAGTTCATACTATATCTTGCTAACACGGACTATATACAACTGACCGGCCGTCTCCCTGGATGGGGACCCCGAGACGGGCCCCATCAATGTTTAGAGACATTGTCGGACATGGCCCAGTCGCGCCCTCAATGGCGCTCGTGCATCCAAACTATTGCCTTCAATGCATAGCTCCTTTTCCAACCACCTCCCCACTTGACAGCCCACTGACAGTGCTGGATTTATGCACCAATTAATCAGCTCCCGCTTGCAGTGCGCAGCTACCTCCCCCTCCCCCCATAAATCATCGGTGAACGAAACTGCGGCAGCTACAACCACGGTACGACGAGTACGCGATTATTACAGCTGACGATGATGATGATGATGACCGGCCGCCGTATCGCACTTCATATTTCGCCCCTCTACTTTTCCGTGGATTTTTCAGTTCGATTATTTTTTTTGCGGATTTCCCAGACACTTTCCTCAAAACCCACAGTTTTTCAAATCTTAACTTAGGGTATTTCACTAGTAAGTGTGATTTGCCAATAAAAATCTACCGGAATAAAATGTGAGTATTATGTGAAACACAGTACAGTGTAGATCAGCTAACTGAAGCGTGCTGCTGTCAGTTGCGATGATGACCAGACTGATAGCTGATCATTGCCACATCCTTTTGATGTGTATTCGCCCATTTTCATCTGCACTCATGCCCCCCTCAGTTTATACACCTCCCTGGTACTAATCTGACTAGGAAGGTATGCATCATTTATTTTTTTCAGGCTTCTTCGGTTCGTCGCACAGCACCACTTCCCGCCGAGAGTTGCAAATGTTCTCTTTGACATTGTAATTCAGCTTATCCGTCACTTTTCCAAGCCCAGCAAGAAACATGAATACTTCGTTCGCTCATGTTTCCCGTACGGTAAAGAACAGTAGGATGTATAAAGGATGGTGCCTGTATCCTTCTTATGTAAGGTACTAATTACGTAACTGTAGCTTGCAGTACCAGAGACATGTTCCCAGATCGGAATGCACATTATCTGGGAGATGGCCTTTCTGGTGCCTGGTCTCGTGAACCCGTCTTAACTTTCGCTCCTCCTATTGAACGACTGTACTCGGTTTCAGTTGAAATCTGAGTCGAAAGGACGAAAATTTTCGCTCAACTCTTTGCCATTGATTCTTTCTCTAACTCCAAGCCACATACCTGCTTACTTGTGCCTACTAAGCCCTTTTTCATTGTCTGTGATTACCAAGTTGACTATTTCCTGTTACCTATCGAATCCGGACACCTTTAACTCACTTGTAGCTGCGCTTCAGAAGGTGTCCCTATCATAGGAAACTTTTCTGGATCTCAACGGTTGCAGCCATTTTTCCCTGCAGGAGAAGTCATCCGACGTGTTACCAAACGTGGCTTCCTATTGGACCCTGGTAGCCACCGTCCAATTTCGTTACTCCTATCTTATCCATCAATTATGAGACTACAGCCCTTTTAGACACTATCGATTCATAGATGACGTGGCCGATTCGCCACACATTGGATCACTGCCATCTGCTTGTGAGACGAAGCCATTTTCTCCTGCTATTTCCTATGTGTTCGATTGTGCCTGGCATTCGGCATTTGGCATAACTTTCCATATGTGGTCTGCTTTCCTACTTGTTCAGGTGGTTTGGAAGTTATCTGAGTGGCCGCTTCACCCATGTGTGGTTTGACAGCGTTGTTTCCTTAAATCAGAACATCCGCACATAGTTCCTCAAGAATCATGATTCTTCCAGATTTCAGACCTGCCACACTTATCACAATTTGTTTTCTCCGATATTCGCACTTCTACACTTGTGGTCATTATTCCTCTTACTCTTCCCAAAAGGTTGTTAGTGGATGACGATCGTGTAAGCGTTCAGCTGTAGCACCCTTCCGGTGCCTAGCTGCCATGCCACCCGAAGGAAGCATGAGGGCTGGGATACTGCCAGGTCGCCCAAGCCTAGACAGGGGAAGTCGAGAGGCGGGGGTCGGGTTTGAACCACGGACGATCGTGTACTAGCACTCGAGTAGCACATGTGAACCACAAAAACAAGCGGCCCTGTCAAGTCTCTATTTGTCTGTTGACCTTCCCCGTTTCTTGACCGACATTTGGCTTACGGGACTATCCTTCTGTATTCTCTTTCATTGGTTTTGCTGTACATTCTTTTACGAGCTCCTGGTATATGAGCTCGAGATAGATCAGTGGTTAGGGCGAACTTACTAATCGGAAGGCCCTTTGTTCGAACCCGAGTTCCAGTATGTCGACTGTTCCTGTCTAGACTTGGACAACCTTGCAGTTTCTCAGCCCTCGTGCTGCCTTCGGGTGGCATGGCAGTTAGGCAACGAAAGGTTGTTACAACTGCACAATTATTGCTCTATTTTCATCCTTTACGCGAGATGGCTCAAGCGGTTAGAGCGCGAATTTACTGGCCGGAAGGTCCGTGGTTCGCTTCTCTACTTCCTTTGTCTAGGCTTGGGCAACCTGGCAGTATCTCAGCCCTGGTGCTTCCTTCGAGTGGCATGGCAGCTAGGCACCGGAAGCGTGATAAAGCTGAATGAGTCTTTTTAACGCTAATAGAGAGTAGGTTACATTGACCCCATCTCAAAGAACGTACACCATCGGGAATGGTCTCTCAGTAGGATTTCATGCTAAATCGTGGATGGTGGGAAACGATCTTGTTGACTTTTTTGAAGGAGTCCATTTTTCTTAGATGCCCTTAGTGGAAATCGTCTTCCCATAATGTCGACTAGGGTCATCCCGATCTTTAGCATAACTAGTTGATTTGGATTTCATAAGTACTTTGGAGGCAAGCACACTTTGTGGTCCTGTTCGGTCCACATGTACTTTTCGTATCTTGAAATTTGCAGTATTTTTGGGTAAAAGGATGCAAATTAGTTTCCGTTCAGTTTAGCTGAATCTCTCTTATGATAACGTAGACAACTTGTTATCGTTGAATACTACGGGGTTTTGTGCCTTGAGCCACAAAACAAACGATTGGATGGGATTTGGGGGTAGTTCGTGTTAGGTTTTCTTGGATGAATGAAGTGCACACCCAGCATTTGAGAATACTTTGGACAGGGAAGCTGGGCGGACGTCCCCAGAGCTCTCAGCCAGCTGTTCTTTCGAACCATAAGCCTCAATTGTTTATTTTGCAGTGAGCGACATCACACAGTAACCCTTCTTTCCTGTATAGTTCACAGTGGGTTTCCTGTTGGACACAATTTAACTTACGATCTCCTTATGAGTGCTGTGGGACTTTTCGTTGACAGACCTTAGTGAATGTGCGAATAAATGAAAGGCTTTGCAAAGGTGCTGTTCGAAGTGTTCAAGAATGTGTGTTCCCCGTGAAGGCTGACCTTCAGGTGAAAGGTGACGAACATGGGACCCAAGCCGGACCATCCGACCGCCAAGTGGCCAGACTGTCGATGAGATTGTTAAATCATTTAGATAAAAGTGCTAGGACCTGCTTTCCATCAAGAACAACAGATTACTTCCGTAAGGAGTATCTTTTCTGGCCTACGGCAGTGAAGCATCGGTGTTGAACACTGATGTCATGCTGTTGATGATGATGATTTCTGGCTTGCCTATCCTTTTCACCGTGTCCCGGATTGGCGAGCCCTCTAACCCTGTTGGAACAAAAGATACGATAATGCTCTGTCGTTTTTATTCATCCACTTCAGGACTTTGGTTTCACATCCAACGAGGTCAGTTTGGACAAGTTTCGCGAATTGAGTAATCTTGTCTCTACCATACAACATGGAGATTTGGACCTCGCCAAAAAGTTAGTCCTTGCTCTAAACACTTTTGCGAATTCACATTCATGTCGAGGGTCTGCGTGTAATCATTCAGACAAATAGTTCATTTTTATGTTGTTATACACGCGAATCAATAGTGTCAAACATGTGACCATGTGTGCAGCCGGAGGACATCAAGAACTCGAATGTCTAACGCATTCCAGGGCAAAAAAACCGTGTGTGGTTGGTTCACTTGTGATTCAGCCGTGACGTGCAATTCTACCAGTGTAGTTCTACACTATTATTGTTGCTTTTAGACTACTGGCGCTATTTCTGTTTTTCTAGCTCGAAATAGTGGTGGTCGTGTTCTCAACATGAGTATGATGAACACTTCGAGGCCAACGCTCGCGGATTTCGCGACTGGCTGCTTACTCCTTGTTGGGAAAGATGACTGTGTCAGCGTAGACAGACTCATTCGATTATCTGTGCAACGGTTGTATATCGCCGCCAGCGCCAACTGGGCAAACTAGTTGGCCGCGGTGTAGTTCCCAGGACAGGGTAAGGTGTGAGGCGTGCCGTTGGTTGGGGTGATACAATCCCATAGTGGGCAGGGAGGTAGAATTGATCTTGACCGCGTGCCAAGGCAAAATCGATGACCAAACAGTACAACATAATAGGACAACAAATAGTACAACCTGTGTCGTTCGAGCATTTGATAACGTTTGGGGTTGCAGTGAATGATCATGTCGTGACATCAAGACCGATTTTGTCTTCGTATCATTCCCATGGTTATATGATCTGGTCAATTTCGCGTTTGGAGTTATCAAACCCGTGCAGACGATCGCTGCGAATATCGCCAAACCTGTGCTGGACGGGTTACTGACATGAAGAATCTCAATCGAACCTTTCGATGGGTGTTGTGGCGCAAAAGTCCGGCATTTTCGTTCCATGGGTATGGGCCGGTATTACTGCCTATTTCATTCTTCTGTGAACCTTGTACAAATCCGCCTGCTAATAAAAAAGTGTCGAGTCAACGAAAACGGCTCACTCGGTTGACGAAATGTCGGTAGTAATTCACAGAAAATGTATTTTCTCCGAGCTGACCAGGCTGGCTACTTTTCCGAGAAAACTCTCTCATGAATTAAAAGTGTTCGCTCCTCGAGGGTGTCGACATACAGCATATCTAGTTAGTGGGTTTTGCATACTCGAAAATCTTCATAGCTTAACTGCCAACCGTTAAACTGATATCGGTTTTATCTCCGCGAGAAACCCGTAGGGGATTGGCAAGGTAGGCGTGTAACCGCCTCTTTCAGGTTCCCAGTAATTTTCACTGTACCTTTGTTTATTGATCTTACCTTTTCTCTTCACGTATGATCCGCTTCCAGAAAGCTCACGATTTCGTCCTCTCCTTAACCTTGATTGTCAGTTTGTTATAACAAGGAGTATCATCACTTGATATGATTCTTGCTGGACAGACTGAGACCAAGGATATCCTTTTGGCACAATCATCCTCAGATTTATACATTTGCAACTTGTCGACATGGAACCGGATTGTGCGAACGAATCGCAGTGTACTCAGTGGTCGTGTCCGGTGGCTGAGAATACCACATCCTGACGATTTCGCGGTCGCCACAGTTGCAGCCAAACCGGAGACCAGAGGGAGCATACGCGACGCAGCGGCTATTCAGCTCCTGGTGTCTGGCACCGGTAGCCCTCTCACTTCAGTCCACTTTGGTCAATCCTGCCAGCGGCCTGCAACGTTTCACCCGCGGTCCGAACCCTTCAGTTTACAGTCGCAGATTCTACTGCTATCCGGAAAGTCAAGAAAGGGAGGCCGGCAGAATGGATGCCACAACAGTCACACAGAGGCCAAATGCTGATTCAAGGATATGGGGAATGCTTTCCACGGTGGTCGCAGGGTCGGATATGTCAAGCGCAAGGCACGAATAAGATCAGAAGCACGGCCACCTTAAGGGAACTAATTTCAGACAACACACTGCGGCTCCATAAGGGATACCGGACAGCCGTGACATACCTCGGAGTAGGAAGGTGCCAGATCCCAGATCGGCGTGCACACAACCTCAGGGACGGACCGACATGCGACGGTACTTCTGTGAGTCGTCACAGTTGAGTTGAAAGCAGCGGTTGGTTGAACAGCCTCCTCGAGGGGGGAGGTGTCCGGAAACGAGCCGTCCCTAATAACCGAAAATCACATCATTTGGACGGATGTGTCACGTGCAGGGTGCGGACCAAACGAGAGCATGTCCTGATCGGTCAGAATGGTAGCCTATCCGGATCGAACATCTTTAACTCGATGCTTCTCGCCCTTTCACGGAGATTCTAGCACGATTGTGGAACAATTCTGTCATTGCCCTATAAATACGGCTGTAATAATTTTTCTCTGTCTCCACAAAGGACTGCCTGAAGCTACTGTACCTTTTACTTTAACATAGTGGGTGGAGCAGGAAACCAAGGCACCGATGCAGAGTCGTACGACCGTTCAGCAAGTCACAACAGGTTGCCAATAATGCTAGAATGGTACACGATAGATGACTCGGAAAGCTAACTTCGGGTCTACAGTTTTGTGTGTTCACATAGTGTCTTATCTTGTCTTACCTTGTTTTTGTCTTATCTTGTCTTAATCAACCACACGGAATAGTGTTTTCAGGATTCCCTAGAAAAGTGTCCAGAGGTTTGTTCAGTGTACTCAGCATTACACAAACGCCCTTTACAAACGATGCTTTCAATTAACTTTTTTTCGTGCCGCAAATCCATCGCCCGTAACTGTTCAGTGTCTCAATGACAGGATACCTCAAATAGCCACAGGTGCGTGTTTAGATATTGCAGTGTCCATGAACTGCCAGACCTAGAGGTACACTTCTGAAAGCCCTGTCCCGCTTTTCTGGTGAAAATCAATCCCTTCCAGGTTATCCTCACGCCATCTCCCTCTCGTATCTTCTTTTTAGATGGTTATCTGAGCATAAAGAGCAGCTGGGAAGCAAAGCTGCTCAGCTTGAATATTCATTGGCCAAATTGGAATTTTTGGCTGCCATGAAGTATCAAGCCTACAATCCTGCAGCTGTCCTTCACTGTGCCCGTCAACTCGTACCATTCTCTCAGGTCTATCCAGCAGGTATGTTTGTACTGAGGTCCTCCGCTGCTGCGCATGCGCTTGATGTTTCTTCGACACAAAGGCAGTATCGTTCGTCCTGGCTTTCTTCACTGAGTTTGTCGTTTTGTCTATTCCTATTTGATAGTCCACCTATTTGACACGTGCGCCTTTGGTAGTAACCCGATCACCATGCGTTCAAATGCCGTTGTTGGTTTCCACAAGAGTGTACTTTTTCTGCTATTGTGTTACACCTGTGATCTGGATGTCTTTTTTCACGTTTCCTCCAAAATTGATCTCCTTGAATTGCTGATCTGTCCGTTATCTTCGTTGCGCCCACGCTGCCGCTGATATGACAGTCGAATCTGGTTGCGTACAGGTTCCTTCCTCACCTTATGACGTCTATTTTACCATCTATTTGCCACCTTTGTTTCGGGTGGCACGGCAGCTAGGCACTTTTATGGCGGAATACTGGGTTGGTTGGAGCTACCTCGCCACTCTCGCGCTTGCATATTTTTCTGGTCATCCTCCATTATAGCCCCCCCTCCGAACGAAGACTACTCCTTCGATGAAATCAAATGATGGTTCCCCGTAGGCTACTATTTATTGTGAGGTCCTATAAGGAAGGTCACATTCCTGAAAGCAACCACTGAATGCTCGAAATCTACCGAAACAGCTCCACTAGATGTTGACCAGACAGATAACGCCCCCTCAACATGCGGCGCGTCACAGCCTTGTATCAAACCCAGACAGCGCGAGTCAGCGTTGGTCAATGCCCCCGCAATATGCAACACGTCACAGCCTCGTACCAAGCTAGACGTGTGCGTCGGTATTGGACTAAGTTCAGACAATGTCCTTCCAATAAATAGCTTGAGACTGTTGTACTTTTCGCACTCGCTTGTTCGGAATATAGCGGTTGTGTTCCCTTCTGTGAGTCTTTTTTCCGGCAACTAGGCACTGGAGCGGGTCAGCAGCAGATACATCAGATTGGCTAATCAGCAGATGTAATAAAGGCTCATTCTCTTGTGGTCTCGTTGGTCTATTGCACTAGTTTGGACTTGTACAAATGTACACAAGTGAATAGGTCGGATTAATACCGGAGCCGCATTGACCTTCCCTTCCTGATGTTTCTGTGCCAATCGTCCGGAAACAATATTCGTAAGCTCAGAACATATTAGTATTCAAATATTTTTGAATGTGCATAGGATTGAGAATATACTTCCTCACTCGTACCATTCTAGGTTGAACCGATACCCGTGGTTCTGATGTCCAGCACCCACCGTCACCTACCAACGGGTAGCTGATAACTAGGTTGTCAGCTCATTTTCTCCGGTCACTGGGCGGAATGCGTAGATATAAATGTGGATGGCATTTGGTGTCACGTATTTCGGGGAGATTTGCGAACAATTCAGTGGGATGAACTGTGACCGCCAGCAGTGCACTGTCCTCCGTCGTTTAAGTATATACTACTCGTGAGTAGTTCAGGGCCAGTACAAAACATTGGGAGCTAGCGAACGTTCGCCAGAATCGACGCACGGGCGGCATCACGCGGGCCTCTGACGGAAGATCTGCATCCGTCCAGTAGACAACTAAGGTCTTCTATAGAAGAAAATGTCGGTAGCGTAGATGGTCGTTGGCTTGTTCGCTGCGCTGGGCAATTTGATTGCAAACGTTTCATCATCAATCGAGGTGACATCATCAGTGCGTTATTGGGGAGCGTAGTTGTGTGTAGCGGTGGGTTAGTCATTGTACAGCCCATCAAGGAGTGCTTCGAAAGTTTGTGAACCTAACACGTTGTTTGTATTCATAGACTCACACGGATGTGTGAGCGTGTACCGATAGCTCTCCAAAAACTTCCGTACATTTCCGTCTCCCTTCCTGCTTAATTTCGTAATCGATAAGTAATGAGACGTGAGACGAGACGATTACTGGGAGGTCTTCAAAATCCTGATGTTCGAAAAGCTGTTGATGAAGACCTTGTCGATATGCAAGCTGTAGGGGCGAGATGGCTCAGGGGTTAGAGCACAAATTTACTGACCGGAAGGTCCGTGGTTCGAACCCAACATCTGCCTCTCAACTTCTGTCTTACTTGGGCAACATAGCACTATCCTATCCCTCGCGCTTCTTTCTGGTGGCATGGAAAATGAGCGCCGAAGTGGTGCTACACCTGAGCGAAAGGTAGATGGTATATTTTTACTCTTTATTATGTCGAAATATCATATTCCCAGCGGATACACGGGACGTTTTTCTACCCAGCATTGTCAAGGGACTCTTGGGTTTGCGAAAAGCTCCCATAACCATCACAGAATGGGAGACTCTTATCACTGGTACATTGATCCCCAAAGTATTGTCCTTTGTATGCTAATTCTGCTCCTTCATCCGCATGAGTCAGGTAGCTATCGAGCTCATGTGACCCTTGTTGATATTGAGGATGCCTTTCAACTTTTATGCACTAGTTATCCTAATAGATCGTACCCTATTCTTAGCTTTCGAAATACTTTTCTCCTCCTGCTTGGCTCTTCCAAGCAATACTCTGAAGGATTGGCAAGAACGGTATTTCCCATCATTTTGTCTCTATTCGATTTGATTCCGTTTGCCGGCTGTTTTGAGCCGCACTTGCTTTCCTGCTTTCTCCGACAGCAGTGCCCGTGTGCCATCCTCTATTCGGTTTAGGCACACTATTGACCAACTAATCTCGGGTTAGTAACCCACACTTGAACACTACTCACCATTGTTGATAGATCAGACATGATCCTGAGACTTGCAATGCATAATTAACCTTGTGCGTCATTCTTCGGAAGATGTTGCGTCCCCGATAGCTCTCAATAAACTCTTGGGCATAATAACTTCTCGCACTGTGACCGCATTTTGGATGATGGCGTTACGGGTTTGTGCGCGTATTCTCAGTAGCTCATATGCATTCGGCAACGGTATGTGGTTGGGTTGATTCAGTCTACGTTTGAGGATCCTGAGTTGGGTTGTTGAACAAATGCCAGTGTACGTACATGCCTCTGGGTTGTTTTACCCTAGTCGGGGCATGCTATGGACGTTCATTGGTCTTTGTTTCTTAGAAAACGAAATTAACAGTTGCCGAAAAGAAACTGGCCGCATATCGCATCTCAGAGAGCGTAAGTTATTTTGGAAGAGAGACAAAATTCAGCTGATTACGGAAGGGTCTCGTCACAAAGGATGTTGAAGAAAGGGTCTATGTTGGGATACATGAGAGGCAATTGTTTCGAGGGGACCAGGATTCGATGATCTTCCTCATAGGCGCACGAAAAGCCTGTGATTAGTGAGCTCCACCCTTTCCCGTCATTTTCATGAATCTGAAGAGCTCTGGATGGACTCGAGATATTTTGGAGCGTGGGGATGCACTTCTTGCAAGGTTCACACGGAACGACCAAAGTTGATTTATCACTTTATGAGAACCGGATGATCGAAATTGTTCTCAGTTGGAGGCTTGAGGCCTTTACAACGTGTGTGCAGTAAGCATGATTCACTTGAGGCCATCATTGCTCTGATCAGCTGAGTTTTCTTCGAGAGAGGGACCTTGCCTCCCCTAGTCACTAAACTAAAAACGATGACAAGCGTGGATTTTTCAATGTTTCTGGTCTTAGCAGTTCACTCATGTTTGAATTCGAGTTGCTTGCGGAAACGTTTGTGACGGAAAGCTCTTGGTCTGACTTTACCTCTTTTCGACCGTTGCGGTTCTAATTTGTTCATCCTGTCAGTGCCTGTCAGCCCCTCATACTCTCTATGGGGAGTCCGGCAACTAGACAAAAGTGCATGACCAGATTATTTTTTTTGGTGGAACAGAAGCGAGCGGATACGAGTGTCAATAACGACCGGTATTTCCCATCCACTCCATGGCCGACGAGCGCCAACAAGTGATCTGCTAGTATTATAAAGTCCGCTTTTTCTCTCTCAGGATTCCCAAATTGAAAGAGGACGAGATGGCTCAGTGGTTAGAGCGCGAATTTACCGGAAGGTCTGTAGTTTGAACCCGACCTTTGCCTCTCGACTTCCTCTGTCTAGGCTTGGACAATCTGGCAGTATCTCATCCAACGGGTTTTCTTCGGGTGGCATGACATCTGCGAACCGAAGGGGTGCTACAGATGAACGACCACACAAACATGGTGAAATAAACGCCAGTGGATGCACAGTATCCAGAGATTTCATGTGGTACTCCATTCTGCTGATTGATTCATGTGTCTTCAGTTGTTGTTTAAATCTTGTCGTTACTTTATATCTTTTTGTCGCTTAATCACCTCATTCCGGATTTTGTCCGGCTGACCCAAGTGAACTCGGATAGAAATCGTACTGAGCTGTCCTAGGTGGCACGGGTCCTTTCATTTTCAGGTGCTTCTTTCAAAATAATAGATGGGGCTTCTCTGATTTCTGCTACCGTGACGATCGGTCTATTATAGTAGCGCTTGCTTTGTACGGGTAGGAACCGTATATTCTAGGGGAGATGTAAGGCCCTTTTGGTGTTTGGTAATCGACATAAACGATTTTCATTGCTATGGTGCCTCTGTGGGCCTCATTCAACACCACAAGCTCCGGGGGCTCGTCCATACCTATAATCGTCTACCATAATTAATTTGGGAGAGGCTCAACCCGCTTTCTGAACAACAAATGGCTTCCAAGAGTGGAATAATGATCATGAACAGTCTTCATGATGTGGCTGTAACCCAGTTTTCATGATGCAGGATGTCCACGTAACCGTCGCCGCCAGTCAATATTTTTCTTTGGACAAATTGGCCTGGCAGTGAAGCAATAATATCCCACATTGTTATTCCTGTTCACGCCACTGCCGCGTAGATACATGGTGGAGTTAATCTATCCACTCTTGGACCTCGTTTGACACTCAGTACCTCCGATGCACGGACCAGGCCTTTTCGGCAATTGTTTCCTTACTATTTTCTAATTTGCTGCTGCTTCCCAGATTTTTGTTCATATTAATACAGCCAACAGAAGCCAACGGGGTGCTCAGTATCACAAAAGATACCCATTGACCTAGCAGTATGCTATGATGGCGCATCGAAATTTCTAGACTGGGAGGGAATCTTCCTTACCAACATGTTTGTTGATGCAAACAGCAGCTTGCCACCTACTTTTTACTTGATGTGATCTGTTTATCCCTCTCTGCGACAGTTCGTTATTCTGCTTTGCACTAATACAGCCTGACAGCAATCGATCGCACTCCAACTTTATGCACTTATCACGTGATGTTAGTAGCATCTCTGCAGTCGCATTTCAGGGTACTGTCATATGATCATCGGTTTCCGTTCCCACTGCAATTTTCACTCGTTGAACCCGTCACCTTTTACAGTTCAGCTGCTCACTTTTGCATCGCACTCGGCTGAAGTGAACCCATTACATTGTGATTCCAAAAGAAACTTGGAATCACCCTATTTTAGCTTCTAATTTTGGCTGCGTTTTGTCAACCTGTGAACGACTAACTTTTTGGAGCATTGCGATACATAGATCTATTAGCATATAATGGACGTGTATGCATATATATATATATATATATATATATATATATATATAACTTCTTAGAGGTGCTTTGGTTCCGTTACTTCGTTTTCATTATAACGAAGTGACAGGTAATGGCAAGAGGACGCACTGCTG